AGTGTGCCCATGGCTGACTGCTGTGCGGATCTCTGTTGGGCTGAAAGAACATTTTTTAGATAAACAATTAATAAACATAAAACCAGAAAGAAGAACTGAAGCCTCTTCTCGTCCTTCGATACGCGGGCAGCTCAAGGCCACCCCCGGGCCTTTCAGGCCCCTCAAACAGCCGAGATAAACCGGACACATGGACACTCACATCGATGCAGCTTTTGGTGTGCTATGTATTTAATTATATGAGCATTACCAACAAAAGGATTTTAACAGTAAAATAAAGGCTTTTTAGTACCCAATCTTAATTTACAAAGAACTAACTTCTGTTTAAATCAATTTTTTTAAAAATATGCATTATAGGAAAACTTACTACACAAAAATGCCCATTTCAGCAAGACAATAATTTCTCCCATTCTTACTGCATCTAACCTACACTAAGAACTAGCACTCCATGCCGATCTGACAGGCAAGTACTTCATGTGCATACTTACTGAGATTGATACGTATCCATAGCTATAGAGAAAAGGATATGAATAACTCCTTCATCAACTCTGCAGGTGGAACTTTGCAATTGATCTTCCAGATGCACCAATTTCTCACTTATTGCTTCACATTTTTCTCCCAACTCTGCAGAAAATATGAAGAACTCCTACAGAAAGTTGAAAAATAAAAGAAAGCACGTTTGCTGCTGACTGCACTTTTCTACATCAAATTTGCATCAAATTAAAGGGAAAACAAAATACTAGTAAGGGAATATGATACTTTGCAGTGCAAAGACATTGCCTAAAAGCAAATTCCCATTAGAGGGACGAAAAGCTGTTTCTATATAATAAATTGGTGATTAATCTGAAATGGAATGAGCTTGTGGTCTCAGTTTTCTTCCCAGCAGAAAAAAAGTCACCACCTCACTTTCAGCAGATGATTTGGGGTGTGAAGACAACTACTCTGAACTTTCTCCCCCATTGTCTCATCACAGCAGGGGAGGGAAGTCTCACACTTACCACTCATTAAGGTACCCAAATTTCAAGTTGTTCATGTAAATATGATTTATACTTTTAGGTCATGTAAATATTTCAAGCAGCAACATTTTGGTAACTCTTATACACATTAAATGTACTTATATTTTTGAAGAAAAATCTGGCTAGAGTACTTAGGGACTTTGCTCAAGCAGTAAAACAAAATGTAAAAGAAAAGTAAAATCAAAGTCTTTGAGATTAAAAGATGAAACTGTACTTTTTTACTGAGTTATCATTAAGCAAGGCTAAATTTTCAAAAATAACATTTCTCTGCTTAGAACTTACAGATGGCAAATACTTTTTCTATTTTAAACTGAGTATTTTAAACCAATTTCAAAATCCTTCTCGTAAGTCTTTTTCAGATACATTGCACAAGGGTAATTGCTATTTTTTATATTTTGCATTGAGTAGTACTTTGAGAAATGACCCAAATAAGCAGAAAATATGAGAAGAGAGGAAAAAAAATCAATCCATTTGCACAGCTCTGAGACAAGCCTTTCCTCTCCCTCCCATGGCACCATAGTGCTGTCTACAGTAATGACAGGGGTTATTTGTAAAAAAAATATCATGGTGCCAAGATGAACTTCTGCTAGAACCATGTTTAAAAAATGAGTAATTCATCAGCTGGAATCCAGAAAGCTGGATTGTTGCTAGACCCAGTCTGTGCACTCATTAGTAAAGCCTGCTTCTAATGTGGCCATATACTATCTGCAGAAAATTTTTCTACTCAAAGAAGAAAATACTTGGGGTTCTTTGCACTTACCAGTTGCTATAAGACACCAGTGGTTGTTTAAAGAAATCAAACCTTCAGCCAAAGGCCTTCCAAAGAAACCATGCTAATACATTTTGGAATGCTGCCCACTATGAAACAGTTTGAGTTTTGGTGAACACATTTACCCGATGTCATTTGTGTGCTATCCTTTCACTTTGCATCTCACAGTACATTGCATACATGGGGTCGAATGCCAGAAGAGCTCTTCTTGCTGGCACATCCTCTGTTATGGCACTGAACTTTACCCTTCTGCTTTCCTTGGGCCTTTCCCAGACATGGTTATGCAGCAGATCCCACTGGGAGCAGCTGCAGCTCAGGCCCAGGACAGGTAGGTTGATTACGAGGTTATGTTGCAAACCCCTGCAGCTCAGACACAGAGGAGCACAGAGTCCCTGGCTCTGTGCACAGGACCAGAGCTGCCACTTCCAGGGATTACAAACCTAAGAACCTACAGCAGCACCCCACAGAATGTGTGGATGTGAAAAAAACCCATTGTTTTTAAACTGAGAGCATGGCAGGAGAAAATAAACACTCTCCTTGCAGCAACTAGGAATGTCTTTTTCTGAAGACCAGTGACAGAAGAAGAGGAAAAAGTCTTCCATCCAGCTACTAAATTATTATTCAGCATACCAGCAGGACTCCATGTGCTGTAATGGAGTGGGACAACCCAGGCCATTTGTATCAGTAGAAAGCTCTTACGGAATCATTCTGGGACACACATGCAAGAACAGATGACTGTTGTCCAAGAGAACTTAGGGCTCAGGCTAAACAAATCATTAAATTGGAATAAATCAAACAGGTACTCTGAAAGCAACATCTAAAATTACGACCACTTAGAGAAAGCTCTGCATATGAAAAATTGCAGGGTATTCCTCCTGAATGATCATGTTTTGGCTACATAAGGCCTTGCCTAATAATGTAACAAAATCTTGTTTATTTTGGAAATTACGGTAAAAGAACAATAAATATTAGGCAAACGTAACCAATCATAACAAAAATATGGGAAGGCAGGGAAATCTGAGAGTATAAATAAGTCAAATCAAACTTGTTTAGGTCTTTAAACACTTGAAACCAAATTAATCGTAACTAAATGGCTATGGCTGCACTTCAGAGCAACCAAAATAGCTCTGTAAGATTGAAGTTATATTTAATTACTCTTTAAATCCTAATAATGCAGCTTAATTTCTCTTTATTACAGCCGTAATTGTGTATGAATGAACTATTTCTGTACCTACATAATCCAGCTGGATTTTTAGTTGAAATGAGAAGTTCCTCCAACACCTTAGACAAGCATCAGCTCCCAGGAATTTACTTCCAGGTGTCATGTGAAAAATGCAGGAGAACCATTATATAAATTATGATTTTCCAGAATTTATATGAATAAATGTAAAAACAGAAATGGAAGAAACACAGTGCTTTCAAAAATACACAACAATAATTCTAAGTATTCAACCAATTCCATAGCTTCTGCCTCCAGGCCCTCATTTTAAAAAGGTTTGATAGCCCAGAGAAGTAGATAGAAAAGATTTCTCTTAGTGCCTTTCAGGCCTGGTGACATCATTGGTAGCATTTTTATTTGACATTTGTCTATGTAGGCAGGAAAAACCCCTGTCAGTGATACACAAACTATTCAGAACAGCTCCTGGTTGGAAAGTGGCACTTTACACTGATCAACAATATCTCTGAGAGGAAAGTGGACTCTGCCTCAAGCTCAACTTATTCATAAAATACAACTCATCCAAGCTGGTAGGTTATGTCAATGCTACAAGATGCTGTAAGTCTGAAGACTTTGGTTATTTTTGCTCTAACGGCACTTTTAGAAAGCAGCTGGGAGAGATAGCAGGAGTCAGGAGAGAGCTGAGAGTAATATAGTTTTATGGATTTTTCTCTGAACAGGGAATATAGCTGGCTTGGATTTTTTTTTTCCCTCTAAATCCTTAAGCAGGTGAAAACAGCACAAATATGGGTGTGATTTAGTTTTTAAGGTGAAATTCTTCTGGCTTCTCAGACAAGGTAGAAATTCTCATTCTTTCCCAAAGATGTGAACATCTGATGCAAGAAATGGTAAAAACAGACAACATTCCAGATAATGCACTGCTGTAACATCAGCATATTGCATCAAGAGCAGAGGGAATGGTTTCCACTTTCATCTTCTGTGTTTTGTTTTACCCTTTTGCAAGACATTACAGCCACCTATGAGCAACACCTCCTTGATAGCATCACTTGAGGAAAATGTTTGATCAGCTTTTCCAGTACAAACACTTCCTATGCTCTTCCATCCAGTTTAGCAATTTTATACAGAAGAATTGACATTGTAGTAGCTAGATTAATTTAATTCTATTTAGGATTAGAGTCTATATTAGTCTTTGGTGGTTGTGCTGAGAAGAAGGATTCCCAGATATAGCCTTAAAATTCATTCTTCCTACAGAGGAACTTTTGTAAAAGGGCATTGCCTTACTTCCAAGCAGCAATATCATAATCCAAACAAAATAGAAGCTTTAGAACACCTTCTGCAGAGTCAAAGCCAGATTTCTTTCACGTGCACTATACATCCTCGGCCACATAATAGTTAAAATAATTCATAGCAACGTAAATAACAACTACAAAAAGGTGTCCTTGCAGGCAGATACTTCACATTATGGCACAAGGTTTAGAACAGGGATCTACAGTTGACAGAAATCCTGCATGCTTTCCCTTGACCCTTGCAGAAGTTAATGGCAATTGTCAGCACTTGAAACTCCAGAATGTTAGGCCATGATGTATCTTTAATTGCTAGGAAACAGAATGCAGCCATCTATATTTGTCATGTTTGAGCAGATGCTTCAGCCACATGCAAGCTAAGTGCACATGCCCTTAGATAAATGAGCTGCATGGCCATGAGGTGACCACAGTGCAGGGGAGGAGCAAACAAAAGAATTTGTTCCTCCTCTGCATCCCAGTTTTACTGACCCATGCGCATTGTCCTGGGCAGCTGTTGGAGATGAGAAAGGCCACTGAGAACAATGCATGTTACTCATGACCAGCACCAGCAAGGCTGTCCAGGAAGCAGCCAGGGAGCACCAGAGCCTCTCTGTGACTTGCAGTGTGACCAAGCCTGCCATGACTGTCCTCAGCTGGTGTCTGCATGCACGGCTCTTAGCAGCTGACAGGGATCTGGTGGTTCTGGTTGCAGGGCAGAGACTGCTCCAGGGCTAAAGTCCCCTTGCAGTGAGCAGGTTTTCCTCCTGCTACAAACCAAAATGGCTGCATTCCATTCTACCCTTACATGGCACACAACAGTAACTATAGTTCTCCTATATAGCATTATGCTTTATGTGGTTGAAGACTTTGACTTTCAACCAGACTAGGACTTCTAAACTTCTTATTTCTATTCCTTTCTGTCTTTTCTTCACCATGTTCCTGTCTTCCATAAAGGGAGATGTCCAGACTAGAGCCATAGTCCTCTGGAGGCTTTGGCATTCTCAGCTAAGCACAGTAATTATTTCTGTCTTACAACTGACATTCCCAGTAATGAGGCTGCGAGTGACATTTGGCCTTTCTTCCAACACAATGAAGGTAATGAATCCCACTATATTTGCAGTCCACTACAAACCTAGATTCTTCTTCTGCAGTATTGTCAATTTAGCTGCTATTTACCATCTGTAGACATAACTCCGACTCTTTTCCTCCCTCAAATGTAATTTGCACCTGTCTTTCAATATATCCCTTCTTATTGATTTCAGACTATTCTTTCAATCTATCAAGACCATTTGGAACTCTAATCCTAATTGAAATTATGTTGATTGGCACATAAACTCCTGGCCTACCTCCTTTTTAAAGGCAAACACAAAGTCTGCCTTTACTGATCCCTTGGGACTTCAAGCTTCCTCTAGGAGTTTTCAAAGGAGCTTGTTAATGGTTTGGAGATTGTTTTTCTTGGCTCCTATGTGCTCAGGAGAAATTTCATCAGTCTAGCCTCACTTGAGTACATCTCATTTGCCTTTGGATCTTTTACTCTTGCTACCTGGTAGTGAATACCAGGAGCACTACATAATTGGGCATAGCTTATAATCTTTAGAAAGACCAAAAGCACAGAGAATAAGGAAGAAAAAAAATTCTGATCTCATTTATTTTCTCATTCACCTTTCCTATTAGAAAGGTGCTTTACCTTTCACCTTCCATGCTTTCTTTCACCTTTCACTTGCATCTAACTTATCCCTGAACTCCCTTGCCATTTCAGATGTCTCCTGTTTAATGTAGCTTAGTGGGCTCAGAGGTCTTGCTGCTTCACACTTACACTGAGCAATATGCTTCTAGACTCAAAAACACTTTTGTCCTTTCCTTGTCAGAACTTTTGAGCCACTGAAAAACTGCTGATATAGTCTGTGACTGTGTCTGCACTTTTCTGCACAAAAAAAGATGGTGCTGCACTATAAACCTGATGTCTTCTGGACAGTACCAAAGAATATCTGCTGAATCCTCCTCCTACAGAGTTTGTCCCACAGAAATTCCCCTGTTGCTTCCCTGATTTTGTTTAGATGAGCTTTTCTTTAATGCAGGTATCTATCTAACTTCTCTCAGAAGAGGGATCAAGGCTGTTTCCCAATTACTTTTGCTCCTTATCACCTTCCACTTACAGACTGCTCCTTTGTTACATTAGTGTGGTTATATATATTTAGGAGACTTCAGCACTACAACACACTCCCCACTTTCTCATATCCAACAATTTAGGCATAAAGCCTTCCAGCCAGCTGTGACCTACCTCTTTCCCACCATAACATACTTTTCCCACACTCCCTTTGCTTGAACTGATTCCTAACCCTTCTCCACATGGGAGTGTTAAATGACTCATCAGAATTACAGTGGGGTTGGCATTTCTTCCCTTTGTGTATCTCCCATTACAGCTACAGAGGAGTGTCCCTGGAAAAGCATCTTTGCAGGAATAGAGTTTTTCACTGCCTTCCAGCACCTGCTGTGGCCTGACAGCAGTCTTCCTATTCTCATCCCTACTACACTGAAGATATTCCCTAATTGCAGACTTTCTAAAATGAGAGCACACACTGCACTGGCTCATTTAATTACACTGGGACAATTCCAGCTCCTGCTGCGGGAGGATGAGGCTATTTACTGACTTGTCAATAAAAATTCACAGTGGGTCAGGACTTGGAAAAAGAAACAAAAGTACCAAACTGTTTTCCTGCGTCCACACCCTGGTGTGCAAGGAGTAAGTAGAGCTGGGTTTCATTTATAGGTGGTTCCTAGTGTTGTTCATTCCCATCTCTGTTCCCAAGGCACTAAGATGCAGGAATGACTTAACTGGGCGCTCTCCTGCAGGGAGTGAGGAGACTGACCAGAGCGAATTAGGGGACCAGAGCACCAAAGGTACATTTAGGTAAAACCTTGACATGGTACAGGCTGCTGACACTCCCACAGAGCTTGGTGGAGAGCTCTCTACAAGTCACCATCAGCCCAGCTGTGGCAGTGTGGTAGAGCCTGGCTTCCTACCCTATTTCCTTTCCTTTTATTTCTATTGTTGCTTTATTTTCTCTTCATGCACTTTTGTCCCCCTCTGCCAAAACCTTGAAAGCTTATGAGAACTTTACGATACAAAGCTCTTGGTGCACGCTTCTACAGTGGCAGCCCTGTACACCTGTGACCTCTGATGCCCTCAGTATTTTGCCCTGATGGCAGTAGGGCTTTGTGCTGCCTTTATCCCACGGCTTCCCTGTCCCTATTTCATGTCATACATGGACACAAGTAGCCACACAGTTTATCTATAATTCACAGCAAAGTTCACTGATCAGAAAGGCCATATGCATTTTCTGCAAGGTTCACCTTCATTCTCAAGGCTTCCTGTTTTTATTTAGGCTGAACTCACACACAGCCAAGCAGTCTATCCTAGGTGTGCCCTCATGTCACAATCTCCTTGAACACAAAGTCAACAATCTGAGCTTGGTGCTGCAGTTAGATTATCCTTCCTGGATCATTCCAGCAGCTCCACAGTCTTTGGATTCACTGGTGGGAATAGTTATCCTAAATTTAATATTTATTTATTTATTTAATATTTGCCTGGTTTGGAGCCCTTGTCAGTTGTACTTGACAGGAGGCATGTATGCAGTTATGGAAGGTGAACTGGGGGTTACTTGAACAGGTAATTTATTTGCTGGCTGGACACAATGCTTGGATACTAAATTTCTTTACTATGTAAGTTGCAACCCAAGGCACACTGATATACAAATGGACCAGACTGGAACAGTACTGCTTTTAGACCCAGGGTAACTCTCCTTACACATCTATTACCTAAGCTCTTCGTTTTTAGGTAGACAGTTTTTCGTATGTTGGCAGGTTTTTCTCATAGGCCATGCATCTCATGTCACTCAATTATCCTAGCTTTCTTAAATACATGCACTAGGTTCTCAGATCTTGTTATTTCTGTAAAATTACAAATATCCAGTATTTTTGTTTAGATGAAATTCCTATTACTGTGTATTCTGCTGCACTATGCTTGCATACTTCAAAAATAAATTCAAAGGTATTTTTAATGGCACACAAGAAAACAGGCTAAGCATCATGACAGTGCTACATTGGGGCTGGCTAAATATTACTGGTTCTTATTTTTCCTTGTGTTCATCCTGTTGTTGGTATGTGTTAAAAATATTAGCACAGGTTTTAACTATAAACTCCCTGAAATACTCAGCAATTACACCATTACCTTCAATGGAAAAAAAAAAGAAAAAAAGGAATGGGCCCACTCTAGTTGTGATTGTGTTGCTTTTTCCAAGTGCACACACAAGTGCAATTTCTAAGCAAAGGTAACACCATAAACACAAGTGCCATTTATTCTAATTGAGACAAAGAAAATTCTCTACAATATCACCACTTTATACTGCCTAGGAAACACTTACCTCAGATAAATGACCCTCTGTTCCAAATGAAATGTCTTCCATAACCTGTTAGAGATAAATTATTAAGTATATAGTAGATACATGCTATATAAACTGTATGATTTTAATGGAACTTATAAAAACCATATAGCACAATAAAAAGTTATGTAAACTGAAAAATTGCATCAATTTTCTTCACATGCATGAAAGACTTAAATTGCATTTGTAATGGGGCAGTGGCAGCCACCCAATATTTAAAACTATATTTGAATACATTTTATTAAGGCCTGCTTTGGCTTCTCACTTAAAACCCACAAGGAATATTGCCTCTAAAACTGAATGACTAACTATAGATTGAAATAAACTTTTTTATCAAACTCTTGCAGATCTGTACACCATTCAAGAGTCTATAGGCTTTTTTTTTTGTACAAACCCTGTAAATTATCTTGGGCAGGAGAATGAGAAGCCAAATCAATGTTTCCTATTGATAACAAATGCTATAGTCAGTTCTTCCTTCAAAATTTCCTTCATTTGTGAAGTCTATATGAAATTAGCCAATGTTTCATTGACTGACTGAGGAGCAAAGAAATTTGATATTAGCATAATTGGGAAATCATTAATACTAATCACACATAAACGTGTTGTTGATAATAAACTGAGATAGGGATACCGCTTTGGTATCCATACACACACACATACATATATAGATATACATAATTAAAGTGCAAAATCATTAATCTGCCATAAAATCACAATTGTTACTTGACACTATTTTCAGCAATCAATCTGAAAAAATGGTTTAAATTTCTCTTGCCTGTAATATTAATTTTCTGATGATGTTTTACTGCTAAATTACATGTAAACATTAAGCTTTCTGAGGTGCTACAATCCCTCCCTGAAGAGCCAGCATTTTTACAGCAGAGCTCCACCCAGGCTTAGATGCAGCTGAGGGGCACCGTGCTGCACAGCTCCACACGTGGCTGTGCACTCAGGATGTGACCACTGTGTGCAAGGCAGCTGCCTCCAGCCACTGACATTCTTTTTCAGCTGGGATCAATACAAGAAACACACAAACGCTGACTTTCACTAATGCTTCATGCTGACATTTAAAAATAAGATTAAAATTTAAATTTCCAAATTATTTTCAAAGCTCCACAAATACAGCATTTAATTAAAGCTCAAATGAATGCAGAGTTTATTTAGCCTTCAAAAGGCTTTGTCCTTTACACATCACACATTTGCCTCCTGGACCACAGGCCATCCCAATGCACAGTAATCAGTTACAGTCTGCTCACAAAGGCTTTCTTGGTGCTTGCTAGCACTAAATTCTGAAAAATGTTGTATCACGTTCTATGATAACTTCTTTTTAATGGCAGACGCCACATTAAATATTATTTTTTTGTGATGGTCCATTTGGTATCACTTAGACCTCAGTAACTTTTAAAAATTTAATCTCATGAAGACTTTACAATTATAGAACATTTTCCAAACACCAGAGTGATCTTCAACAAACCCCAAAACACCACCCCAGATGGCTAAACTGAAGTATGCAGAGAAGAGGAAAAAGACAGCTGACCTTATCCTTATCCCTGTTCTCTACTTTCTTTGTGATGAAAAAGTGAGAAATTAACTACAAACAATTCTGATGGGGCAACTACCAAAAAATGCTGACTTACAGAATGTAAAACTACTGAATTTTGGATTTTACCTTGTAACTTTAATCACCTCAATTTTCTTGAAATCTAGTAGGTGTTTCTTTCCTTCATAGTGATTAAGAGGGAGCACTGCACAGCATGCCAGAGAGCAGAAGAAGAAAAAAGGATAGGTCAGGAACTCAAGCCTGCAGGTGCACACATAGCCATGTTCATCAGGTTACTTGCTGTTAGGGAGGTTCCAGCACACACAAATCTCTCAGTTTATTAGTGATCACTGGTGGGTTTGCTGTTTTTAAAAGCTCTTTATGAAAGTGTCTGCTTACACATATATTATCAAGAAGAAAAAAAAAAAGGCAAGATATTATAAGGAGTGGAAGAAGCAGTCATTAATGTCTGAAGAGAAATGAAATGATGCTGTATATTTTAGAAATCCCCCAGATTGCATCTAACCATGTGGTAATGATCACTGCAATTTCCACCTCACTCAGTTTAAAAGCATGAAACATATGTGGGATGAAAACCAAAACCTACCTTAAATTCTTCCAAGGCTTAGAAGAAAATCAAGCCAAATACTCACAAAAAGTCAAACTACAACTGAAATGATGGGACACCTTAACTTCACCAACACAGCTACCAGCTAGAAAGTACACACTTATACGAGAATTCAAGAATCCACATCAAATACATTAGACAAGGTGACTTCCACGTGACTGAGGGTAGCAATATTGTCTGCAACTTTGCTCCAGTCTTTTTCTAATGCTAGCCAAATGAGTCTAATGAGTAATCTTCAACTGAGAGAAGCACATCTTACTTAAGCAACTGAGAGTGGTTCACAGGATGATTTTTGCTGGCCCCATTTTATTTAGCTTTTACTGAAACATCATTAATGATGTTTCAACAAACTGAGCTGCCAATGCATCTTGATTTTCATCCCTAGTTAACAGACAGTGTTATAATGGAAGCCTGATTTACTGAATTATTCTGGGATGCCAGTCTACCACAAAAAACTGTAGAAAAAAAATCAGCAGTGTCTTAAAAAACACGGTTATGAAAACTATAAAATAACTGTTGACAGTTAATAAACCTGTGCTCACATGATAGTAAAATAACAAATTTCAAAGAATTTATACCTTACATATTTTTATACCAGAACACATCATATTTTATGATTTAATGAGGCTATTTAATTAAAAATGATAAATGGCCCCTCTGCAAAGCAGTATCTGAGGATCTACAAGAAGGGCTCTTTCATCTATTTTGCTGTTATTATTACTGTTATGTTTCTTACTTAAGTTTTTCTTGCTTTCAAAGTAAACCTATAGAGTAAGATACAGTAACACGCAAGACAACTATTTATAGTACACATCAAAAAAACCAATATTCACCTGGTACTTGTGCTTAGCTCTATATGACACAATAAATAAGTGGAGAGCTTCATTTTATAGAATTCCACTGTAAAGTAAATAAATCACCTGGGTTTGTAATGTACTTTCCAAGGCATATATGCACATATGTTATTATCAGTCTTTCCTATATTTTCTTGAAGTAATTAATTCAGTAATCTCTAAGTACAAAGAACACACTTTCCTTCTGCTTCAGCGGCCAATGGCGCTCTCTAGGAATTCCCTGAGGGGGAAGAGAGGTTGTGCCACAGTTGAACAGAACAGTTATTCCAGAAACATGGCAACCACAGCAAGCCATTCCTCCCACAGAGGCACCACAGCCTCCTTAAATAATATGAAACCATGTATTTTGACAAATACATGCTTTTCTATTAGGTATCCTCACTTGCTGATAAATGGCTATGAAAAGGTCCCCTGCTAATGGCTAGGAATAAGTTTTCCCATGGAAGTGATAAAAATGGCTAAATTGAGAGATTACACACCACATCACTATTTTCTTGCCACAAATATTGAATTATTTTTAAATAAAAAGTCACTACCATATAACAGAGTATTTAAATGCTTCAGAAGTGGTTTGTTTTTCAAGTCCATTTACAAATCAAGACAAATTTTTTCCTTGCACTTCAACATGTTCAAAACCAGAATTTAGCATGATTTGTATCAGGTTTTTTCATTTGCTTTTATATTCCGCCTTTTGATGAACTACTAAGAGATGTCAGGGAATAATCTGTGATGGCTCTTCTCTAAAAGTTTAGATACTGCCTGTCACTGCAAATACAGTTTCCTCTTCCATTCAAGATGTGGGGAATCATCCCTCAAGTCCCACAGATCTCTCCACCTCCAGAAGTCACCTCACTTCAGCAACCTTGGATAGCAAGGTTGATTTCCAGTGAAATAATCTGGGCTTGCAGGGGTGAAAGGGGTGATAATCTATAGCACAAATATCAGGAGTGCTACAGAAACAGTCACAAAATCCCAAACACTCGAGAGCTTCTAAGCACTTTTGAAAGAGGAGCACAGCTTTCCATAACCAACAGAACTCCTCATATTATTTCAGCAGACTCATAAAAAATATACTAAGGCCATGATGGAGGTGGAATCAAAGCCAAGCTGACTATTTCTAATAAAATGTTCTCTCTGTGAAGCCAGTCTGTAAACCATTTGCCCTGGGAAAAGACTGCAAGAACTACTGAAGCCCAATATAAAACCAGAATTTTACTAACGAGGAGATTTTACCGTCAGGTACGGGTCTGCTTTTCACTAAAACTCAGCCAGTATAAATGCAAAATAAGGCATCAGATTTCAGAGCAATGCACAGTTCAATGGCTCTTAACATCAGATGCAATTAAGCATAATTTAAATTTTTTCAACTTAATTCCATGCTAATAAAACTAACAACTGCTGTTGGAGGGACTTTTTGTCTCAGTGGTGCTGTTGAGTGATGAAGATTTTTTAACAGCTTGTTGACATAGGCACTACAGTTAAAAGACTATTAGATAATGGCTGATCTTTCAAGCAAGGATAGTGTTCCAGATCAAAACATGAAAACATAAAAGAAATTTGTCAAACCTTCTAAGCTTCATTATTTTTTCCTCCTTTTAATAATCGTTGGATGCTGTAAGCCTATTGGCATCTATTAGCTCAGAAGCCTTTGACCATTTCACTAAGGGAGGAAAAGTAACTCTCTCTTCATGTCAGCCAACAATGACCCAGGCTAACAAGTCAGCAGGACCAACTCAGAATGAAACTCATTGGTGAGATGAGGAACAACTGATAATTTTGCCTAAATAGTTTTTCCTTTAAATCCTGACGTACATTCTGTATTTATTGCCTGAATAATTTCTGCATTTTAAAAAGACCGATGGTAAAAGGGAAAAGGGCTGAGGGACTTCTGAGAAGCTAATAAGCTATTTTATTCATGTCCCAGATTGAAAGCCAGATGTTAAGTTCATACTTAACCTGCCCTGCTGACCCATCACAAAGATTCAACTCCTCCTCTCAACAGGAAAACGAGCAGTATCCCTTGAAATACAGCTGCAGAGTATTTCATATACCTCTTTCAGCTCCCTGGGTTTGGGGCAGGAAACAGCACCCCACTCTGTGCCCTTTAGAAAGTGACCTTCTTTTCTTTTTTCACAATCAGGTGAGGCATCAGCAGTCATCTCCATGTCATCCATTTGGTTCTCTTCTTCCTCAAAACCACAGCAACTGGTTTCTTTCAGTTGAAACCCTCGGATCAACAGCTGACAGGCCTCCAAGTCAGCTTCCCACACTCTTTGGAGCAGCTGGCTCCCACAGCTGAAATAAAAGCCAAAAGAAAATAAAACTGCAGCTCAGGGAAAATAGTTGCTATTTCAAGTAACACTCGCAGTAACTGCTTATTATAGACAGAAAAGTAAAAAAACCAAAAAACCCAACAGCACCTCAGATACTCCCACAGAGATAACACTGCTGTATCAAACTGAAAAGCAGCAAAATTATTGCCCTATTATAAAGCAGATGATAGAAAAACCTGCTTGGGTTAAGATGTTGCTTCCAACTGCACAGCAAACACTGGCTATGTGAGACTTCCTCCTGTTCTTCAGACACAGGCTCAGGGCCCTTGCCATCATAGCCAGTGCGTCCTTCACAATATCTGATACACAGGCCTGTGTATCCTGCACCCATGTGGCTTTCCTGAATTTGATGTAAAAGATCATGTGTGAACAATCACACTACTTACTGCATTAAATCAGGTCTAAGTTTTGGAAAATAGGTACACTAAATTTCTTATTAGACTAAAATGTGCTTACTTCAGCACTGGTGAATCAGATTAGACTAAACCACAATGGTCTCCCTTTTTTGAGTCTTATGTTTTTGAGTGCTGTTGTTATCTCTTACTAATGTGCTTTGGTTTCCTTCTACTTTGTTAGGCCACCAAAACAAAAACAGAATTCAAAATACAAAGCCTCTATAAACTTTTCATCCATTAATCATCTCTCAAACATGTACATTATAAGAAATACTCCTGAGATCCAACCAAAAGTTATTTCCACCTGAAATAAGTGGGAATTCTGTGAGTAGATAGATTTTGAGAACTGAATACTAACATCATACTGTTTGTAAATGATGTGGCCACATCTCCATTTTATACGTTGTCTCAAAGAAAGCAAATGAGTAGGTTGCTTGCTAAAAAATAGTAGATCAGTGGCAGAGCCTGGGATGAGACTGAGAAGTGACTATTCCCATGTCAATACACGCTTTCAGACAGATTTCAGTGCTAATAACTGCTGTATTTTTTTCACTCTTTTTTTTCAAATTATACGATTTACTATATAAATACTATATTGTGAAAAAATTTTAAGTGACTTAAAAGAAAAATAACTTTTTGATTTGAACTTTTCTGTCTAAATTAAGTACCAGCTTGTCTTTTATCCCAAACAAAGGAAAAAGAAGCTACACTTCTCACAATGAGTTCATTAAACTACACAAGTATCTTTTTAACTCCAAATTCTACAAGATGGCAAGCTGTAAAAATCACACAGCAATATACTGAGACTGAAAGCAAAATCAGGCTTCAGAAGCTGAGCTATTTGATTTGTGCTTAAGAGTCAGTATATGTGTTTATTGAAGGCATAATGCAGCAAGGGGTCCACAAATTGGTCTCCCCCAAGGAGTTCAAAGTATCACTAATTAGAAAGGGAAAAATGGATTACACATCTGTGTTCCATCCAGGTAGCATTTCACTTACCAAGACAGAAAAATAAAATAACCCCTGCTGTTTCGCTACTTGTCAATCACATTATCATAGTTACACAGTCAAAACATTTTCCTGCAGACATACATAAGCCCATTTACTTGCTTTTTGAAAATGTTTGTTTGCATCTATATATAGCTGATTGTTAAAAGCTAAAAAAAACCCCAACACTCTAGAGAGCTAAATCAGAATTTCTAAAGGATAACTTGTTTTGGCTATTTAATTTAATGAAGAGCTTTATTGACAAAATTAGGGCAGAGATGGTGACATATGCAGGATTTCACAGTGGGGAAGATGAACAGCATGTATAACAGTACAGCATAATGGTGCATGGGCTGCTGTTATTTGGCCCTGACTCAGCGCATTGGTCAATGTGGTTTTGTCTGTGTCTAAGTTTTAAATGCATTTTAGTAATCAGCAGTTACTGAATCTACTGCTAACAGATGGCTTTTATTTGAAGGCTATCATTGTTTTATCATGGTATTTGTGAAACTCTGATACAACTTGAACTAAGATGCTAAGATGTTATGCTGAATTTTTCAACCAAAATCAGTGAATGCACGTACACTTGGATACTCTGAACAGATCCAAGCCCAACATATCAAGACTCCACCTTTTAGTCTCTATTTTGGAATTCAGTGCCTTGAAGCATTTTTCAAACACACTTTTGGAATGAAAATTACTTTAAAGCTGCAAATAGCTAACATTTCAAATTATTATTACCAATTATGTTGTCCCCAGCATGTAAAAAACTAGCTTTTACATCAGGTGTTAAAAATTAAACTAAACTGAATTTCAGAGTTCGGTTTATTCATTTTCAGTCCATACTAAAAGTGCATTTGCAGTCTCCATGAAGCCTCCATGGGTTGCTGTACAGAACACTGTGAGATTTTTCAGGTATGAAACGTTTCAAAATGATGGATTGAGTCTGGATGAGATTTTACATTATTCCTATACTTATAAATATTTCATGATGTATCAACACCTCTAGGTGTTATATGCCTGCCTGTATATTACTATCAAAGTGGCATATGTGGCAAGTTCAATGAAGGTGTCTGGAACAATCTGCTGGAATCCACAACAAATCACAATCCATCAACCATTTACATAGACCCAGTGACACAAAGCATACCTTAATCACCTGCTGATTCTGAGCTGCCAAGAGCCAGAGTGCCAGGCTTTGCACAAACACCAAACACATTAGAATGATGGCCTTTTCCTCAAAGCAACTTTTCTCTTTCAAACAACCAGCAAGAGCTAGGATACAGATGAGGATGTTCAAAAACACAGTGGACTGGACATGGCATGTTAGTTACAGTTCTACAGTTTAATTAGTTACACGAGTAACTAATTAATCTAAGTGGTGCCAAGAACACTGAGACATCAGAGTGAATTAGCATTTTAAGATTCATGGGAGGGCAATAAAACATGTCATTAGATTTCCAAGATCTCCATCCCTTGGAGGAGGAATCATGTAAGGTCAGAGATGCTAGTATAAGAATACAAGGGGCAAGTGATTGACACGAATGTGGTTTAACATCTAGTGAGGAAAGCCTTTCTTCTCACATTAAAAAAAAGAGACAAATACTGAGTAGAGAGTTAAACACTCTGAGTAGCCCTGACACTGGAAGCTAGCAGTTAATCTTGATGAGACAGAACAGAAGGAGTCAATGAAGGAAAAACAAAGTGAAATGGAAAAAAATACAGAATTGCTCATTTTGAATGAATGAGAGTAGGACTCTCATTGTCAAGACTGCTTTTGTCAAGTCATGGCCAGGGAAATTGATGATGAAGTAAGTGAGATGCAAGACTCCACATGAGTAATTTTTTAGCTGCATGGATAGCTGGGACAGGTTTTACCTCAAGGATACTGTGCAGAAAGAATCTACAAGAGCAGGCCTAAGCTGACTTGAAGAATGGCTGAGACATCCACAACAACACAAAAGGACGCAGCAGACAGAATTCTGCATTAGGTCAAGTTGATGATGATGAAAGAGCTGTCACAGAAACGGCTGTTTATGGGCAGGAGGAAATGGATGTGGAACCCAGAGGCTTATCCTTGAGTTCTCTTCATAAAGTGGCAATTGACACTGTAATTGCAGTTGCCTTTACTAAGGCTCAAGCAGTTTTATAGGAAACACGACCAGGGTAAAAAGGCAAAAGGAAACTAGAGGACATCTCCCCTCTACTTGTGATGTTGGGTGAAATTCATGTCAAGAGACATAACCAGCAAGGGTTCTTTCTCTTTTGAGCTCCAAAAAACACTGCTCTTCTGCCTTTTGACGAGATTCTGGGAGGTATCTATGGGGGCTCTCTATGGCTTTCAGCACAACATTACTCTAAAGCTATTTATAGTGCTAACTGGAACTACAAGAACATGACTTTTCTTTATTGAGGGCTCTCCATACATACAAAAGGCACATTCAGTTCCTGAACATTGTAGTCTAAATGAAAACATGTCTGTGTAAAAATAGTAAAAAGATTTTATATTAAACTCTATTAAAAAAAAACAAAAAACCAAAAAAACTAAAACAACCAAACCACAAAACCAAACCAAAACAAAGTTCTGCAAAACCTCCTCAAAAGCATATTGGAATCAACACAGGAAGATGTCACCATTTATATGCTTCCTGAAAACTGTCTATAGTTTTCAGGAATGCCCCTTGGTGAGTGAATTGTTATGAGTGGTTTAAAACACCCTGAGGTCAACACTATGATGTTGGTTATTTCAAGGGAAATACCTGTAAGAACCCTCACACTGAAAGCCAAGAGAGTGAGACAGAAGCTAAAACGTTACACAGTAAGGCAACTATTGAGAAATGGCATAATCAAAATGTAACTTAGGATGGAAGGGCAACCATCACTAAGAAGAGATATTCTAGATGACTTCCTTTTAATAGGTGAGCCACATCAAGGTACATTTTCAGGAAACCATGTACTTATCTTCTCCCAGTACCTGGCACATATTTTAACTCTACTGACTAATCCTAAAAGTAGTTTTCTCTCACAAAAAAAAAAAGCAAACAAAATGCAACAAAAATAGTCTGGCACAAACAACAGGGATTTTCATTATGACAATTAAAATGATTGAAAACTTTTGAGGCTTGCATAAAATGGCACTGTGAACCAAAAGACTTTGTTCAATATCCCCATTCTTTATTGAACTATTGTACAAACTAGGGAAAGTTTTTCTATATTTTGGTCACTTGCTTCTATTTATATTTTGCCCCTCAGGGGAGGAATGAGCTCTTCTCACTCAACATTGAGCTATTATTTTTTTCCCCTTTTCTGAAGGCAAGAGGTACGCAGTGAACAAAGGAGGCAAGCAAAAGGAAGTATCTTCTAATGATACTTTGAGGATAAAAAGGAATGTTATTGTTTCACTCTTAGCAGAGCCTCACCTTTTAATTTGATTCCTCATATTAATTCACAGTCATGCATTAATAATGTTAATAATAAGAAAAATATCGTTTAGATATTCTTAAATATTTTTCTCTATATAATTCTTAAGATTTAAGAATCTACTCCTTTTACTTCTCTTTTTCATTAAAAAGAATTTAAA